AAAAAGAAGATGATGTTCAACTCAAGAGCACATGCGGTTAGTTGTAGGGTTTGATTCAAGGTCTCTTGGGCTATTGGTGACATACTTTTCTATAACTTTCTAGAAGACTTGAAGGCGAAGGATTTATGGCAACGCTTTAGGATGTATGGCCGTGTGTTGATGTGCTTCTACCAGCAAGGAGAGATAAATGGGGGAAAAGGTTTCTATTTGTCAGAATGGTAAGGGCGTAAGAGATTAGGAATATGGAGAGGAGGCTTAATGAGATTTGGTTTGATTCCTATAAGATGAGGGTGAAGATTGCTAATAACTAGCAGTAGAGACGTTCGGGTAATAGGAAAGGGAATAATAGGGTTAGAAGGACTCAACTACAAGGATTTGTGCAATCGGGAAGTCATATGCCTAGGTAGTGGTAGGTAATGCTAGTAGGGCAGGAGATGTTCATAAGCGTGTGAAGCATGCTAGTGCGATGGAGAGGAATGAGAAAATTGTGAATATGGTACCTGCATATCAAAAGAGGTTTGTAGAGAATGAGGTGACTGATGTCGGTGTTAAGGACGTAAAGGACAGTGAGGATAAAGGAGAATAGAGTAGGGAGGAAATAATTGAATTCTCGCTAGAGAAAGAGGAAATTCAATGGCTTGATGGGGGTATGGTCGTTGTAGTGAGAGCTATGGCATTGATAACTAGGATTCAAGAAAGAATAGATGTCGACGGGGTTATGATTACTTTGTCACCATCAGGAGGTCATAGTGTGTTATTAACTGAATGTTTGAAGGGTTATTTGTGTGAGTACATGGAGCAAAATAACGAAGTATTTGATCTCTAGTTTGAATCTATTTGTCCATGGGTAGAGGCACCTCCGCACAAAGGTAAAATGGTATGGCTGCGAATTTCTGGGGTGCCATTGAAGTCCTGGTGTGATAGGTGTTTTGAAAGGATTGCAGGTACGATTACGAAAGTGTTGTTGATACATGAAGATACTAGGACAAAATCTATCCTGTGTAGTGGATAGGTGTTGATTCTTTGCGGGGATGAGAACAAGGTATCAAAAACCTTGAGGTTGAAGGTGAATAGGAAGCTATATGAGATTAATATGGTAGAGGTAGAATGGAGAACAGACCTAGATTGGTGGCTGTTTGATGGTGATTGGAGCTATGATACGGCAACAGAATCAGAATATTCTTTGTCGAAAAATGGTGATGAGGATCACGGACTATTTAACGTCAAGATTTGTGGTGAGGAATATGGTAGCAATGAAGATGAGCAGTTACAGAAGGAAGGAGATTCAAATTTAAATGGGAAGAGTTTAACGGCAATGGCAGGTGACGGCAAGGATGGGGTATACAGTAATGGGCCGGTATTGTCAAAGGAAAATGGGCTAGAAATAGAGAGTGAGCCAGTTGTGAGCTTGTATCAAGAAAAGGTATAGGACAACAATGAGGTAAGGTCCGAATCGATAAATGCAAGAAAGTTAGAAGCAAAAATGAATTTAGGGAATAGGAATTTGAAAGAGAAAGGGAAAAAGGATATTCGGGAGTGTTATCCAAAGGATATGGCCAATGAAAGTGAAGAAGGGAAACAGTGGGTTATAATGCGAAGGAAAGAAAGGAGGCAGAGGCAACAACACGAGCGATAGATTGCAAAACACAAGGTGAAGTGGGTTGGGAGTGGCTCTTTGTCTAATGGTTGTATTGCTCATAGGAACTAGGTAATTCAAAGAGAATTGAATGTAAATGAGGTAAAGAGGATTATTAATATAGGGAGAAGGTTGGGTATACAAATCCAAGAGAACAAAGAAGAGGTTCAATCTAGATTGGTGGAGATGAAGATTCGGGAGGATAGAAGGGGGAAGAATTGAAAGGCTAGTGAGGTTAGGTAAGTTGTGAGGGGTTGTTTGGTAGTTATGAAGTTTATGTTATATAATGTCAGGGGTTTAGGAGGAGGGGTGAAGAGGAAGGAGGTGGGTAGGTTAGTTCGAAATGAGCATTTAGATTTCTTGTTTTTGCAAGAGACTAAACTAGAAATGGTGGAGAGTAGTATGTGTAGATCATTGTGGTATGCAGATGGGTTTGATTGAGTCATGAAGGAGTCGATAAGAGCCTCTAGAGGGTTGTTGTGTGTATGGAATAAGCTTGATTTTGTGAACAAGGGGGAATTTAAGGGGGATGGTTTCCTAGGTATTACAGGGGAATGGGGACCAAGCAAGGTGAAGTGCAGTCTAGTGAATGTATATGCTCCTAATGATAAGCAGAAGAAAGTGCAGTTGTGGAATAAGCTTAAGATGAGTATTTTAGAAGAGGATGAGGTGGTTGATCATGGGTGATTTCAATGCGATTTGGTGTCTCAAAGAGAGAAAAGGCAGAATAGGGGAGACTCTAGAGTTGAGGGACTCTGATGACTTCATTGTGACAACTGGGTTAGTAGATTTAAAATTGGTGAACAAGAAATTTAATTGGTATAGACCAGATGGATCATCTCCGAGTAGGTTGGATAGAATTTTGATGATGGTAGAAATGAGTAACATGGGAAAGGAATGGGCAAAACAAGGGTTGCAGAGAACAGTTTCAAATCATTGTGCTATTATTTTGAAGACAACAATAATGGATTGGGGGCTAAAGCCTTTTAGAGTTTTGGATGCTTATCAACAACATCTGGAGTTTAAGAATGTAGTTGACGAGAAATGGAAGGATTCGCTAGTTATCGGTGCAAACAGAAATTCAAGATGTTGAAGGAGTATTTAAAGGGTTGGAATAAGGATGTGTTTAGGGATATGGAATTACAGTTTCAATGTATTGCAAAAATGGTGGAGCAAATAGATATGAGGAATGAGGTGTTTGAGATGGAGGATTTGGAGTTGGATCAAAGAAGATAAGGTTTTCAGGAAATGTGAGATATTATGCGGAAAAGGGAAGCTATATGGAAACAGAAATCTAAAAGTGATTGGGTTCGTTTGGGAGATGACAATACAAGATATTTTCATCGAGTTGCAAATGGGAGGAAGGTTCAAAATAATATGTTTGGGATATGGTGTGATGGCTAATGGGTAGAGGAGCCAGATTTAGTTAAGAAAGAGGTTACCAATGACTTTCATAAGTTGTGTCAAAAAGAATCTTGGAATAGACCAAAGCCTTCAAGTATTAATTTCAGTAGGATTTCAACAGAGCAGAAGGAGTGGTTAGAAAGACCATTTATTGCTGAAGAGATTGAGGAAGGATTGAAGAGCTGTGATGGGAGTAAAGCTCTAGGTCTAGATGGGTAAAATTTTAATTTTATTAAATTTGTCTGGTCTACTTTAAGGGAGGATTTTATTAGCTTTTTGGGGAGTTCCATAGAATGGTAGGTTGGTAGAAGGGTTGAATTCTTCTTTCTTTTTTTTTTTTTTCTTTAATTCCTAAGAAGTTAAACCCTATGGAATTAAAGGATTATAGGCCTATTAGTTTGATAGGGTGTGTATATAAATTGTTGGCAAATGTGCTAACTAATAAACTTAAGGTAGTGCTGTCTGATTTGATAAATGAATCTCAATCTGCTTTTTTGGGAGGTCGACAAGTGGTTGACAGTGTTTTAATTTTGAATGAAGTTGTGGATGAGGTGCAAAAAAGAAAACAATCAGCTTTTGTTTTTAAAGTGGATTTTGAAAAGGCTGATGATAGTGTTAACTAGTCATTTTTGGATGGGATGATGGATAGGTTTGGGTTTGGAGTTCAATGAAGGGAATGTATAATGGAATGCCTTTCAATAGCAAGGGTGTTGGTTTTGGTTAATGGCAGCTTGATAAAAGAGTTTGTAATGGGGAAAGGGTTAAGCCAAGGTGACCCTTTATCACCTTTGTTTTTGTTGGTGGGTGAAGGTTTGCATGGTTTAGTGCAAAAAGCAAAAGAGGAAGGGTTGTTACATGGGGTGGAGATAGGACGGAGGGAAATGTCTATATCTTTGCTTCAGTTTGAGGATGATATAACGATTTTAGGCAAAGCTGAGAGTGGGAATATTTGGATGGTTAAAATAATTCTACAGTGGTTTAAGATGATGTCGGGGCTGAGAATTAATTTTCATAAAAGTAGTGTGTGTGGGTTTAACGTGTCAATGGGATGGTTGAATGATGCAACAGGTGTTTTGTGTTGTGGTGTAGGAGAAACTCCATTTATCTATTTGGGTATGCCAGTTGGGGGAAGTCCAAGGAGTAAGAAATTGTGGGATCCAGTGGTAAACAAATTTCGTGCCAAGCTTGTCGTCTAGAAATCTACTTCACTGTCCTTTGGAAGCTGTCTTACCTTGTTCAATTTGGTACTCTCTACTTTACCTAGTTTTTATATGTCTTTATTTTTTATGCAAATTTTGTGGTTGCTGAGTTAATTTCTATTCAAAGGAATTTTTGGTGGGGGGGGGGGTGAAGAGGATAAGAGGAAGATTTCATGGGTTCAATGGGAGTCCCTTTGTTGTAGGAAGGTCAAATGAGGGTTATGGGTGCTAAATCTACATCAAAGAAATTGGGCATTGTTAGGGAAGTGGTGGTATAGATTAGGTGATGGTGTGGATAGCTTATGGACAAGGGTGGTGTGGGAAAAGTATTATGAGGGTAAGTAAGAGGTTGATATTACTGCGACATAGAACTTGAGGGTGTCTAAGCTTTGGGAGGATATTGTAAGGGTTGGTGGGAAATCACTTGGGCTAAGGAAGATGTTGGTAGGGGGTTTTCGATGGGAGTTAGGAAAGGGGAGTAGCATAGGATTTTGGAGTGATAGTTGGGTGGGTGATAAATCGTTAAGAGATTTATGTCCTAGGCTTTTCCAACTAGCTTCTAATAAGGAAGGTGTGGTTAAGGAGTTGGAGAAAAGGGAGAAGGAAGGGTGAAGATGGAATATAGAGTGGAGAAGATGGAGAATAGGGCATGAACAGGGTGAGGAGAAGGTGTTGTGGGAGGTTCTGGACAACATACAATTGAAGGAAGGTGTGCAGGATTGTTGGAAATGGAAGTATGATGGAGAGGGTCGATATGTGGTGAAAAAAGCTTATGATTTTTTGGCACCTATAGAGTGCTTACTTGAGATCTAGTATTGTAAATTGATGTGGTGCAAGTTAATGCCTTCCAAAGTGAGCTTTTTTGGGTGGAGATTGTGTCTTGATAGATTGCCAACAAAATGAAATTTGTAGAAAAGAGGGGTGTTGTTGCAAAGGGATGGTTTGAGTAAGGAGGAGGTGGATGATGTCAACCATTTGTTTTGTACTTGTAAAGAAGCATGGTTAGTGTGGGTGCAAGTGTTTAAATGGTGGGGTCTGGTGGTGGTATTGTTGGAAATAGTGCAGGGAGTGGTAGAATTATTTATGGGTGGTCTGGGTAGGGTAATTGGCAAGGAGGTGAGTGCATGTATTTTCTTGGTTGTTGGTTGGTATTTATGGTTTTGAAGGAATGGTAGTGTGTTTGGGAGTAATGGGGATTTGAAGGAGCAACTGTTGGAGAGGATTCAAGCTAAGTCTTTCTTTTGGATAAAACATAAAGTTTTTATGTTTTCATTTTCTCAATGGCAGCTTGATCCAATAGAATCTACAGTAGCAATGAAGTAGCATAAGAGGTGTTGAAAATTGTTTAATAAACAAAAGTAGTGTTAGGTCTGCGTGTGTAGCTTATGTGTGTTTCTATTCATGGGTGTATGATTGTTAAAGTTTATTTTCTTTATGCGGGTTTCTATTTCATAGGGGTTGAAGATATTTATATGTACAAGGGTTAAGCTGTGCATGAGTACAAGGGTTGGCATTGTGAAAAAATAATCATTTTGTATGAGGGCATGAGCACCCCTTGTGCTCTAATTAATAAAATTATTTGTTTGCTGATAAAAAAAATATAAAATCAAAATTGAACAACAATAAATCAAATTTAGAATTGGAAACTTGAAATTAGCTAATTTAAATCTAAATATTCAATAATGCAAATAAATAAATTAATTTAACATAAGTCATTAGTTAAATATTTAAACTAGCTACAAATAAAATTAAAAATGTTAAGCACTAACTTTCTTGCCAAAAGAGATAAAAAGAAGTTGGTGGAGATTCTGAGCAGGATATGATCCAAATAATCGAGATGTTGAACATTTAAACTTAATGGGCAAACAATGTCAATATCCCACTTCACTTATTAAGACAAATTAAAATAAGGTGCTGAACATTTAAACTTAATAGGCAAACAATGTCAAATTTCCCATTTCACTCATTAAGACAAACTAAAATAAATCATGAATGCTATATTCATCAAGCTCCATGTCACGGCCACAATTAGCATCATCATCAAATCAAGGAACATTGTCATTCTCTGAACTAGTTGAATCTTCATTGCTATTATTCTCAATCTCATTTTGCAGTTGGCCACCACCAAAAGCCTTTTCCATTTCATCTTCAATGGATTGGTCAACATCATTTTCAACTAACCATTCATCATAAGACAGAAGATCTTCAAATTCCATATTTTGATTCCTTTATGCCTTCTTTTCTCTTAATTTTAAATTATACCCAACGAAGACCAAATCATTCAGTTTCTTTTGGTGCAAGTGGTTTCTCTTTTTAGTATGCACCTAGAAAGGAAAATGAAATAAAGATGCAAAAATAAGTTAAAACAAAATGCAATAGATAAATAAAAAGCCATGCTGATTAGTTTATACTTATTGTTTAAAAATATAAATATAAATAAACAATAAATGCCATACCATTTCAAAAGCACTCCAATTTTGCTCACATCCTGAAGAGTTGCATGTCAAGCTAAGAATATGAATGGCAAATTTCTTCAACTCTGGGGTTTCATCTCCATAAGAATCCCACCACTCATCAAGTGCCTTTTGGTACCTACTTGACACTGCAATTGGAATACTAAACATAACTCTTTCATTCTTGAACTCTTCAAGTTAAAGATCAATCTTAGTTTTCGTTTCATGACTAGCAACCAATCTTTTTAAGGAAGCATACAAGGCTTATTTTATAGCCAATTCATCCTTGAATCCTAGACTGTAATGAATTTGAGGATTAAGATGATAGGTAGCAACATGTAAAGGCTTGTGAAGTTTCAACTCCCACCTTTCATCAATGATTTTCAAGATAGGTTCATAGCTACAAGATGTAAGAAATTAACCGATTAAATTAAAACATATAAATATAATATAGGCAAAAATAATAATATATATAATAAATCAATTCCATTTTATAGGAGTTTTTCAACTTACTTTTTCTTGACATGGTTGAAGTTAATTTTGATCTTTTCTTTTGTCTTTTCCATCTCATAATAAAGCAAACCCATTGTTGGTTTTTCTTCTAGTCCACCAATCTTAGAACTCTAATTATGGGGCTAGCAACTCTAAGACATACAATGATATTTTCCTAAAAACTTCCATCTAAGATTATGCTCTCCACCAGCTTCCCACACTTTGTGCGTGCAAACTTACTAGACTTCCATGTGTTGGTAGAGAACATGGTCATAAATCCTCCTTTAAGCTCATGAAGACAAGCCAAAGTAAGACATGTAGTGGTAAATCTAGTTATTGCTGGTCTAATCAAATCCCTTCCTTTTGTGAAATTTTTTAATATATTAATAAGCATAGTCCTTGTATAAATATAGACTGTAATCCTTTTTCCACTTGATATGGTTTCATGGTGGACATCTATTTTCTTTTCAAAGTCTTCCAAAATCAAACCAAGACAGTGGGTAGCACATGGAGTCCAATATAAGTGTTTCCTCTTTTGCATTAACATTTCCCAACAACCTTGTAGTTTGCAGCATTGTGAGTTATGACTTGCACAACATTTTCTTCTCCCACCTCCTCCACAACCTAGTCTAACATCTCAAACACCTTTTTAGCTATCTTAGAAACATTTGATGTATCAATTGAGTATAGAAAAATTGTCCCTTTAGGACTATTCCCAAAAAATTTGCATATAGATTGCTTTTTCTTGATAGTCCAGCCATTTGACATGATGGAACATCCTTTTTTTTTTTTTTTTCCATTTAGCCCTATAGGCATCTAGTGAAGCTTGCATCCTATACACCTCTTTCTTCAGATACTTCTCTCTTATATCAAGGTAAGAAGGGGCTTTGAATCCTTGGCCAAACTTGCCAATAGCTTCACACATTTGTTAAAATATTGAATTTTTCACACAATTGAAAGGAATAGCACTTGTATAGAAAAAACGTGCTATTATTTGATCTATCTCCTCTTTTAGATCTTTCTTGAAAATTTGGTTAAGGGTGCTTTGACTTTGAGAAGTTCTTGATCCCCCAACACTTGATTTTTTCATGTAATTGCTTACACTTTTACTACCACTTCTAATAGGACTAGAATCACTTTCCTCTGTATGATCCCCAACATCAATTAAATTTCTTTTTCTTTTCTTTGAGTTGTTCATCTCAATCAAGATACTTAAAATAAGATTCCTAACATCTTCAGGTACATTGACACAAGCTTCACAATCTTTGTTTAGTACTAGCCAAGTGATATTTGAATCTATAAATTCCTCGAATAAAAGTCTTATCACAATAGTTGCACTTGACTTTTTAAAGTTTTTTTCAACATCAATCCCATGCTACCACCCAATATCTCATCTATTTCCAAGAGCATTCTTCCTATGAATCTTTTTTCTAAAAGTAGACATTTCTAAAATTTCAATAAGCCACTGAAAAAAAAAATCCAAATCTTAGTACTAAATCCAATGTTCCTAACTAACTAAATAATACCACACAAACAAATAATAAAAAAAAGCAAACATACATGAAATCAAAAAGTAGAGAAGAGAAAGATTAAAGTCTAAAGAATAAAGCAAAAAGATTCAAGATTCAAGATCAAGAGAGAAAGCATAGCTCAGTTGAGGAGAAGGAGAAAAAGAGTCAGTAAGCGACGCTAGTAGCAACTATAGCAAGGCAAAGTAATGAGCAGTAGCAACTTCAGGAAGTAGCTGTGTAGTGAGTAGCAACAACTCTGGCAATGCCTAAGTAGTGAGCAGCAACAACTCCAACAAGCCCCTAAGCAATGACCATCGATAGTGGTAGTGAGTAGCAGTAGTGGCTAGTGAGTGATGAGTAGCGGTAGTCTAATCCAATCTCTTCCTCCCCTGTAGCAAATCCTAAGTGAAGACTAAAGAAGATTAGCGATTCATATTAAGTTTGTCCTAATTTTTGGAAGCAAAATCTTCATTTGTTGTTGGGTTGTGGGTTGTAGGCTTTTAAAATGAGAAATGGGTTTATTTTAAGGGTTGTTTGGTCAAAGCCCATTAACCCAAGATGGGAAGTCCAAGAGGAAATAGCCTAACAACTTAACTAAAGGTAAAATCGTGATTTTATGATTTTACCCCTGATTTTATAAAATTCTGATTTTAACATAGATTTTACTCAAAATGCATACCTAGAATCAGAAAATCATATGATTTTATGATTTAAATTGTGATTTTGACAACACTAGTTGTATTACTAATTTTTTAAGATTTGGAGTACTATATCCAAAATATTTCCATCACTCATCTATGAAGAAGACAGAAAGAAAAAACATGTACAAGTGTTAAATATCATGAAGAATTAAATAAAAGTGCTATCATCTTAAAAAAAGAAAAAGAAAAAGAAAAAAAAACTTAAAAAGTTGAAATCTTACCAGGTTTCATAGTTTTTGAAGATTCAAGAGCACTTTGATGACCAAAGCTTTCCATTTTTTGTCATACAACTCACACTGATTCACAAATTTAGACCTCTGAGATGGTACTTTTGCATCCACAACATTCATAAAACCTTTCATGACTTCTTTTTTAGTTGAAAAATTCTTTTTATCATAGAAAAAAGCAAGATTTAAGTAATAGGCTATAACATGAAGATTTTGACAAAGTTGCCTATCCCACATTTCCTTGATAATTCTTGTATAAGGTTTGTACGAAGACTTCCTATTCATCAATATAGTCTTAATGACCTTTCTAGCTTTATACATATATGCCATTATAGACATATCCAAGTGAAGGCCTCTCATCACCATCCACGATTCTAAGCAACCGAATAAGTGGTCCCACAATTTTCGTAACAAGCTCACAATTATTTCAAAATTTTTTATCTAAAACAACAGCCACAACATCATTTGCCTTATGATCTTTATAGTATTTAGATTTTTTAAATTCCAAACTAGTCACCAATGCTTGTAAGTCATGCCTATGCTCATGAATGCTTTTCAATGTAATGAATGTTGTTGCAAAATGTGTTGGTTCAAGAAATATAATTTTTGTCCATCCTTCCCTTTTTCGTAGCCAAACAACAAGTAAGGATGATTGTTATAAATTTGGATACCAAAGATGCACGAGATGCAAGACTACTAACAACCTCTAACTTCCTAATTTCACTCAAATTCAAGTTCAAACAATGTCTAACACAAGGAGACCAAAAGATTATAGGATAAATGACATTTAATACTCCCCAGCCTTTTTATAATTGGTTGCATTATCAGTCACTAAGTGCACAACATTGTTGGAACCCACAAACTCAACCAATTCTCTAAACAAATTACAAAGCATGGAAGCATCTTTAACTACATCGAAGGCATCAACAAATTTCACAAAGGTAATTTCTCTAGGATTATAGATAAGAAAATTAATTAATTATCTATTTTTTTAATCTTGCTAACCGTCACGCATAATAACACAACCAATTTCTGCCCAAATATTCCTATAAGAATTAACCAATAATTAGACCTCCTTTTTTAAATCATGCAATAAATTGCTTCTCATGATATGAGAGCATCAAGTATAGGCTGAAAGTAAGGAGAGTTGATAACATTTATGGGTAGATAACTATCAAAAAAGAACCTAGCAATAGCCAAGTTAGTATTATGGACAACATCTTTACTTGCCAAGACACTTCTAATTGATGGTTGAGCTCCTATAGTAGTTTTTGGAGCAAAATAATTTTGAATCCCACTTGTCCTTTTTTTATCCATATTTGATGAAATTTCTAACTCTCTTTGTTTAAGTTGAGATTGTGGAGTTGAAGAAGGATTTAGGATCTCTTACAAAGCCGATGCATCTCCAACAAAATATCCAAATAGATTATCTTCCCATAAATTTTGTGCTTGCTTCCTACTTTCTTTAATTTTCTTCAAACTCTATTCCATTCGATACCAAACATCAAATGACACTTTATCACACTTTTTGACATCTCCTTTTTTAGCAAGATGTTGTTTCATTCTATTAATGCCTTTTCATCTAAATATCTTTTGGCAGTGCAAACATTTAATTGATTTTTTTGTGCCTTCTATAACTTCAACACAATGCTTTCATGTTGCATCTATTTTAGCTCTTAAAGGTTGGGAAGGTGCAATAGTTGAATTCTGTCCAGAGGATGACATTTTTTACAATTCTACAACAAAATAAAAGAAAATAATTTTTTGCAAACTATTAGCCAACTAAAGAAATATCAGAATTTGAAACCATATACAATCCAAAGCTTTTGTCATGTGAATGTAGAAAGTAAGAAGGGCCTAAAGAGCTTATCGTAGTAGAAGAAAATTGCAATTAAGTGAAATTTCTCTAACACATCTCTCTAACTGTCATCAACATTTAGCAATATTGATGAAATTGTGAATTGACTTCGGAAAATAAAACCCTAATCTATCAAAGGCATTTGATTTCTTAGATCAAATTTCAAATTATGGAATCAAGATAATATCAATAAACACTTGTAAATATGGAATGAAAAAATTAGGCAACCAATTGGGAAGGCATACAAATCTTACCTCTTATGTCGACTAAGCGTCTTAAGGAGAAGAATGATGATAGAGGATCGGAGGAGAAACAACTATTATTGCATCAATTCCAAACCGATACATGACTAGAGAATGGCTGAAGCAAGTGCACTATTGGATGGAAAAAGAGCTGATCAAAGAGCAGTATTGGAAGTGGAGCTACTTAGAGAGCACGACTAAAACAACCGAACAAGTTCTAGGTAGCAAGAAATGAGGTTAAAGTACCATTTTGGTCCCTCAACTTTTCACTTTGGCACTAAAATTGTCCCTAAACTTTAAAAAGTACCAAAATTATCCTTAAACTTTTATTTTCGGTGCCAAAATGGTCCTTCCATCAGTTAAGTGCACAGGTGGCATGTTAAGATGCCACAAAATCATTGGCTTTTTAAAATTTTAAGGACGTGTATATCCAACAAAGAAAATATTGTCACAGTGGCATTTTTTTACACGTTAGATTATCATCTTCTTAATTTCTCCTTTTAGTGGGGCCCACATGAAAACTTGTTTTCTCTTTTTCCAGTTTCAATCAAGTTCCCCAAAAATCACAGTTTTCTTTGTTTCTCTTTTCATTTCCTTTTCAGATTCAAAACCCTTAACCTACTACTTCTACAAAATTAAAATCAAAATCAAATCATCCTTCTTTTTTCTTTTTCTTATTCTTTCTCTCTCTCTCTCTCTTTTTGCTCCTTTCTTCCTCTCCAGATTTGGGTTTTCTCAAACCCAAATCTGGGTTTTCTCAAACCCAAATCTGGGTTTTCTCAGGCTTATTGAACCTGTTCAACAACGAGCGAACTAAGGTTAAACTAGAACTAGATCTGGGTTTTCTCTAACCCAAATTAAACCTGGTTGCTTTTGATTCTCCTTAATGGACCCGAACCAGAACCAGAAGGCGTAGACGAAGTCATCCCCGTCGACATCGAGCTCAGACTAGGACTACTAATCATAGGCCTAGCCTCCCCCAATCTTTGGTGCTCATTTAGTCCACCACCAATGTGGAGCTTCCTCAATAGATGCTTCATCTTGGACATGGATCATCAACAGTGACTTTTTTGCTTTCGCTTCCGTCCGATGACAGGTTTCTTTAATTTTATTAATTTTGATTTTTTTCCCTTTCTTCCCTATCTTATGGCTTAAGCTGCGCCCACTAGTAACCATAGTAGATTCCCTTAACCTGTGCACCCTTCTTCGTCAAGCTATCACCACTTGGGAAGACTTAAATTAACCGTTCACTCATTCCCTCCAATACCATTTTCCCCTTCTCTCATAACCGTTCACCTGCCTATAATGACTCAATTCCAAATAGGCAAACATTAAGAAGACCTAGTTGCTCCTCCAGTTTGGGCCATAAGAAGTCAAACTTGGTGGAAAGACAAGCACCCAAGGCGATGGCAATGGCTGTGACGGCGACGTGGGTAATGGTGGAGGTGATGGCGCCATGGATAGCGGGGATAGCACCAGAAG